GAGTGTTGGTTGGTTGCCTTAAGGTATAAGAAATAGCAAAATTCGATTCGCTTTTCTGTTGTTCCTCAATTGTTGTTACTGTTTGAACCACAGGTTGATTAGGCTTAACGGAAGTATTTTGCTGTATGTGAGCTTTAGCTTGATCTTCAGATCGTTTACTACGACACTTATCAGCGGTATGGCCAAGTTTATGGCAAAATGAGCATTTCAATTTGCTTCTTTCTTTCCATGTTGATTTTGAGTCATTTGATTTATCTGTAGATTTATCTTTACCATCATGAGTCTTATAACTGTTTTTAGAAGATGATGTTGATGATGACGATCGTTCCTTGGATTTATCTTTCTGTTGATGGTCATAATAATGACGCATTAGAACATTTAACATTTTATGTTCATCTTCGTGAGCTCCAAGCTTGAAGATTTCATCGACAATGTATTTAGGTAAATACGATAAAACATCATAAAGGAAGTCAGAATCTTCGATTCTCTTTTTCTTTGCTTCAGACAATAGTCTTCTCGTTTCAGAGAAAAAGGTCATTGGATCAACTTCGAAGTTATATGAATAAGATCTCAATCTGAACATCGCATTAGCACCAATCGAGGGTAAATCGATTTTTTCTCTTAATGCTTTTAGGTACGAATGATAATCAGTAATTGACTTATCTATGGCATTAGCCAAATGGAAAATTTCGTGAGCTAATCCTTTTCGTAGACAGCGTAATCGGGTTGAATCATCAATGTCTTCTAAGGAAAGTTTATTCACTGTTTTATTCACCCATTCTTTCATGTTTTCACCCTTTGGAACTCAATTACCATTGGATCTCTTTATTAACCTTGTTTAAAGATGCTGCAAAACTTTCTGCTAAGACCTTGAATCCTTCTACTAATGGTTGACTCATTGTTGAGGTTGAATTCTCATTGAGACGTTGGTTATTAGGACTTGGAGAGGTTGGTCTTGAAGAGACTCAGTTCATCTTAGGGTATACGTGATTGACTGAAATGCAATAACACAATTGTACCAAGAGGTAGTTCTAGAGAACGTAATTCTGATTCAGTTGCACCAAATATTGAATCTTCATCTCGTCCTAATTGGGTGACCAGAGACTGTAGTTCTGTTTCAATTAAACCCAATTGTCTTAAGTCTCTTACCCACGAGGGTAGTTCAAGGCTTTTTAATTCAGACACAGGAAGATTAATAATGTCATTATCACTTAATGATTCACCAACAATTAAGAAATTGGTTTTAATCACCTCGCAGATTTTTCTTTGAGCCAAACTTCTGGTTGGTACTCTCACACCTTGTTCAAGTAGATACACAGAAATTTCTTCGTATTCAAGAGAAGACACTTTTGGAATAATTTCCTCCATCTCATACGGTAAAGTTGTTGCTTGAGAGTCAATAGTTATTAATGAGCTTAATGAAGAGTTTAAATTTTCACTAGAATGATGTGAAGATTGAGGAGATTGAATTCCCACCATGGAGATAAACTATTTCTTTTAGAAAGATCCTGCCTGGGTCGCCATGTGAAAGGTGAACTTCAGGGTGATCAAGGTAAACACTTTAGTGAATAAACTTTATCGGCATTAGCCAATTGATTTTAACTAAAGTTATCGATTCAGAAGAAGAGACTGCCTTTCACAATTCAATCTGTTACAAATTCTTTTAGGATCTTTCCAAAATACTAATATTAATTTAACTCACAAGGTAAATTTTATTATAAACTTAAAGGTTTATTAACTGTATTAATTAAAGTTAACAGTATGAAGATTAAACGGGAATTAATTGTAAATTGATTCGATCATCTTTTATATCGAAAATCGAATAATCGAAATTTGAATTTTCTAAAGAGAACAATTAATCTGATTGGTCGATTAACCATTTGTCTAAAGACAACGATTTTCTATTGTCTCCTTAGTAGACATTAGTCTAGATTAAAATAAATATTAACCATTTTCTCAAGAGAGTTAACTTGTCAGTCAGACGATGATGATTAACATCTTTAACTTCAATTGTGAACAATAGTTAATCTTAAACAAAGTGAAAATTAAATGAGTAATTAAGTTAATTGTGAACAAAATTAATAAAACAAATAAATTTAAGCCTTGAGGTAATCCAAATATAAAGTTAAATGGTTCCAACGGGTAACTCAGTTTTCTACCCTTCAGAAGGTTAATCCATTATTATATTGGATCCGGAAATCAGGGTGGACATCAAATTGTAGGAGGGAAAGGAGGATAATGATTATTGATTGTGATCAATATCATTTATCTCAAAGTCATCATGATTAGTAATGAAAAAAGTCATTCATCTTGTATCTCAGAATTTCCTGAAAAAAGTAAAGAGTTTGCATGATAAGCATGTTATTCATTCATTTTTGTACATTAGGAAGTAAATAACTTTTGACAAATGGAAATGATTTAGATACTGATGATGAGGATGCTAAGCTACTGGTGAATACCCAAATGATGATGAGAGTGGTGGATGATGATGATGATGATTTGCAAATAAGATTGCAAATAAATTGATGACACTTGAGCTAATGTTTAGATTGAATAACATTCATGATGGAAATGAGTATCGGTGAATGATGACTGAATACTCATGGTGTGGATGAGGGAAGAAGACAAGAAATAGACCAGAAAAAAGGTGATTTCTGTGTTCTTATCATCATTATCTTCATCACCAATGAAAACGATGATGAACAAAAAAAAAAGGTTACAACCTACAGTCAGATACAGGATTGATTAATGATTAGGATACAATCAATTTCAACTCAGTCACAGATATACACAATTAATTGACATAGAGGGATGATCTAAATGATGAGAATGCTGATCAAACTTGCAAGATGAATGAAAAAGTGATAGATATACACAAATATAATCATTCAATTCGTGTATCAGGAACCATATTAATAAATGAAAAGGCAAAACTAAAACAAAGATAATGTTTCATATGATTGGTTGTTGTTGTTATTTGTTATTTCCTATGTGAGTATCAAAATGATAAACAATCAACTTATTGTTAAATCTTAAACTTTTATCATGAAAAATGATTAATATCACACAGGCAAAATATTCAATATGTAAACTCATTGGTTATGATTTAGTGTTTATCGTAACTATCAATTTAACAGATTAGGACAACAGATCAAATTAATTCATGATTGATTTAGAATTTCAAATCAATCGGTTTGTATGGAAAATTTATTCTGATAATTTGATCAACCCGATGTATTGATTTTCCTCTGAATTTCTGATGAGTATCAATCATTTCAAAAAGTTTCACTATTCAATGAGATTTGATATCATTTCAGATGATGGAATGAGGTGAATGGGTGAAAAGAAGATGGGGTTCCTGAGGAAGAGAGATGAAGATGAGATGCAAAGAGAAAAAAGTGAAAATAATGATAATCTATTGACATAGATTGATGGATCTTCATATCATGCAAATGAATCGGAAGTGGAGTTTCTGCTGATAATTCAAATGAAATTAAATCTTTGGAGATGGTGGTTAGATAATTTCTTTCGATTTTTTTTCCTTTCAGGGTTAATCATGAATAGGCTGGAACAACTTTAGATCTTAAAGACCAGAGAAAACCCATCCCACATAATGACATAATAATTGGATATCGAGAGTATGAGGGAGCGGAAGATAAATCATCCTCTTCAATTAACACAATATTGATAAAATCTTCATGATAAACTTAGAATTCGTTGAGAAAAATCCAAACTTGCGATTCTGATTAAATTTCACTGAATAAAATTCTGAGAAAATTATATTGCATTTAAAACTAACAAAAAAGTTCTGTACTCTGAGTATCATGAAATTCAAGATGAAAATATTACTTGAGAAATAACCGAGAGTAAAAAGTTCAAGAAAAGCTGAGCTTTCATGATAATTATTAAGTTTCCTATCAGGTTATTTTAATAAGATCATGATTATCATGATTATAGCCAAGAACTTTTTTCTGTGCTTATATCTCAGAGTTTCATTCAAAATGTTTGTGGACAATTTTCAGGGGGAAACGTGACTTTTGCCAACCTTAAACTTTAAAATTAATTGTTCTGATGTCTTTTGATATCATCTTCATAATTTAATTGAATCTATTCACTTTCTGATATCATCAAGAAACAAAGTTACATTTTTAACTTGAGTCTTTCAGTGTATATCCTTCATTTTGAAGCATGATAATGATTTTAATCAGTAGCTTATAGTGATAATATAAAACTCATTGAGTTACAGCATGATAACAGGATGGGATTGATAGGATTATAAATACTGAATACTTGTATACATCTATGAAATTATTCATACATGAGTTCATTCAATCATTATCATTCAAGTATTATTGTCATTTTGTGTTGAGCCATCATGACAATTATTGTAAATTACAATCACAGCTTAATCATTGAAAGTCTGATTATTGTAACAATCAATATATGTTATGATATCATCCATTTCAATTAATTTTCAACCTGTTCCCAGTTATTTAATTGCTCATATTGGTAATCAACTCTACATGAAATCCTAATCGATATTCATATTAGTTTTCCCTGAATAGGAAAATTCTGAATCTAAATAAAAAGCAACATCGACTTGCAATCTTATCTTTAAGATATTAAATCATGAATATATTAATAATTGAACATTCAGAACGAAAAATATTCCATAAAATCAAATCAAATCAATCAAATAGAAATAGATTAAATCACTTTTTGGCTAATCGTTAGATGATTAAGTTGATCATTATTAAGTATTGCTAAATGAGCTAAACTTTTCTCATGATATTAGTAACAGTTAGTTAAATAAGAGAAGGGAAAGTTTTTCAATTACTATTTGCACAAATTTAGAATATAATTTATCCTGAATGCTTATAGTCTGTGCTTAAAGTCGCATGATAATTGAACCTTATCGATTAAATTAGAAATGGAAAGAGAATTGTAAATTTCTCTCTCTCTCTCTTCTTTCAGATTTCAACTCTTTAGATCAACTTTACCTGCGGGAACGATGTTAAAAGTACAAGGTTTCTCCTGTCGTCCGATGGTGTTTTTGGCCCAACACTGGATGTAACCGTAATCATGGAGGTTAAAGGGAGTGAAAAGTATTGAGCTACGAAGACCTTCAACATTGGTTGGATACTTTGAGGTTAGTGGTAGTTGAGAATTGTTTGCAAATGTCCAAGTAAAAGTAACATTGGTCTCAGGCGAAGCATCAACAACACATAAAATCCTTGCGGTTTCACGTAATCCGATCCCATAGGTTATTTTTTGATTCTCAGTGCAGACAGGTAAATCTAAAAAAGAAGGAAAAATTACCATAAGATACTTGAAGATTGATAAACAAAATAGAGATAACTAACTACTCTGATAACTTTACAAATCGAAAGTTTCTATCAATAGAAACTGATGAACAGATGATAACATTTCAATTCCAAGAATAAAACTATCGATGGTTATTATAGAGAAAGAGAAAACAAAATGCTGATAATAATAAACGAAAAAAATATTATGATTTGTACCAAAAAGAAGAAAAAATACATGAATATTATTCTGATAACAGAGGTTGTGAGTTCGATACTCAAGGTATAGAAAGAGTAAAAAAAAGTTCTGAAAGAAAAATAGTTTTTTTGTTCCTTTATTTTTATCATCATTATCTTACTCATATCTTTTCAATTCCCAATTGCAAATCCTACCCAGTTAGTTACCATAGTTTATAATCAGTTAAATTGTTACAATCAAACTAATTCCAGTTGAGTTGGTTACTTTAATGATAGTATAATTAATGAACCTTTTTACACAATCAGTGTATTCCATTGTTTCTATGAGTATTCTATCTGTCGAATTGAGATAAAATATTAAATACAAGAAAAGTTCGTAGCAAGAATTAGGATGAAAAAAAAGTTCGCAATTATTAATAAATGGAAAAGTTCATTGAACTAATTTGTGATTTTTAGGGAGAAATAAATTTATTCCAATGAGACTAATGATTCTCATGTTATTAACTCAAAGAGAAAGGCAACAAGATATTCAGAAGGAAAGTAAAAGAATCATGAGAAAATTATCATGAAATAATAGTCTCACCTCCTACTGAAGATGATGATTGCAAAGTTTGAATGTCAGCCTGTTTAATTGCAAGAATTATGATCATCATGACGAAGATGATTATTATCATTTCGTTTGTTTCTCTCTCTCTCTTTTTTTGCTTTTTATCTTCAATTACTGAATTAGTTAATAATCATAATAATTGTTACTCCCAGAGTTGATTCTTAAATTATCATAGAGGAGAAAAGTTGATATTCCATTATTATGATTACTGTGTTGTCATTATTTGGCATCAACAGTAATTTTTGGCCTCATGTTTTTGGAGCTATTTCATAATCATTCTTGATATTCTGGTGAAACAAGAACATGATTCTGATGAGATTCTGATAATGATGATAAAATGAGCCAACAGAATGAACATGAACATGTGGGAGAATGACATTGGAAAGATCAGGGAAGAAAAAAGAATAAAAACAGAATAGTAGTGGGAGAAAAAAAAGCGAAATTTCGATGAGATGAAAATCTAAACATCCCAAATTCCAGAGAAACATGAGACACTATTCAGAACTTTCCATGATAATGGTAAATTCCATTGAGCATAAACTATTAATTGGTTCTGTTAACTTTCAGTATCATTAATAGTAACAAACTTCAGGAAAAATGGTTTTCATGGTAAAAAGATGATAATTTTTGTACTTCAAACAACACAAATTTCATTTTCTTTTCGACGACAAAAAAGTTATAACTTTGTACATAAACGAAAGAGAAGAGAAAAATTCAATACACCCAAATCGAATTTCATCTCAGACACTAGCTGAATTCTTATAACGTATTTAAATTGAGAATCAATGAAAAATGGAGATTCGAATTGTTCTAGACTTACTTAGTAGCTAAACTCTTTGTGAGCTAATAAATGATGAAATAATCTGTATTCTAAATACTTAATATCGAGTTAATTTAACTCTTCAATCTATCGTACTAAGGAACTAACATTTTCACCCTATTCAGAATCAACTATTTCTTTTCCTATTTCTCTCACTATAATCTAGCTCATCAAAGTTTCTCATAGACTTTTTCTCTTACTAAGTTAGAGCTTAATTTTTTCAGTTACTTTTTTATCTCGCATTTCTCTTTCATGATACATCATTGACTCAGATGATGACGATGATTAAGGTAAGGTTAGTAACTGAATACACACACAACACATACAGTGACTGTAAGGGAAAAAAATTCCAAGAAACTGATTTGGGAATAACATGATTGATGATGTTCATTGGCCTTAGAGTTTAAATTTGCTTTTCTTTTTTCCCCTTTCTCATCACTTTCCATGTTACTATTGCTTATTCTGTGTTTCATGTCAAGAAACAGTCATGATCCATACTGTGTGTTACCTGAGAATCATTCAGAGAGAGAGAGAGAGAGAGAGAGAGAGTAAAAGTGATGAAATTCCGTTCAGTAAGAAAAGAGATACAATCAATGCTGAAAGTTCTGAAGCTAAAGAAAACCCAACATGAAAGAAAAAGAGAGAGATAGAGATGAAAAAACTAGATGGATTGAAGCACACATACTGAGCTATGAAAACGAAAACATTTTTATTAAGTTCAGAATCTATTCACAATTTGTTTTCTTTCTCTCTCACCATGGAAGTGATAACCTGATGAAGCTAAGGAAAACTAGAATTGAACACAGATTATTTAGTGACAATTTCATGGGGATAAAGATATTCCATCATCAAGAATAAAGCTACATGATATTAAAAACGAACGACATAATATTAGAACTACATAGAGGAGAAAAATTTTCATTCCAACAACATTTATCTCAAGAATTTTTTTCTTTCAGTTGAATAAAAAACCTTTTTATGATAATCTGAAAGTTCATTTATTTCAGTCTTAATTAAAAGTTTGGTAAGAAAATATAATGAAATTTTTGTTCCGTGAAGTTGAACTTGGAAGGTGAAGAAAAAAATAATTAAATGAGGCTGCAGATAAAGTCTAGTACCTGTCGACTAATAAGAGATTTAATTTTCTGATTTGATGATGAACAATAAAATTAAAACGGAAAATCAGTGAAATAATCAACTCAGAAAGCTGATTACATTTGTATTGATTGAAAAATAGTTTAACTTTTCAATGGTTCAGTTGAAATCGTTCAAGTTCAGAATTTTGATTAACTTTTACAACTTGATGCTTGAAGCTACAAGTTGCTCAAACTGCGAGATGAGAAAGTGTAAGAAAAAGTTCATGGTAAGGTGAATAAAGTTCAAAATTATCAGCTTATTTTCATCGGATTTCTAGAGTATATATATTTCATGTAATGTTCATCATTTTGTTATTCAGATTTTGCAAAATCAGAGGGAAACTTAATGAATACTAAGATAATATTTCTGAGGTGAACCTTTCAAGATTCAGGGTTAATCAGGTGAGTTTGAGGTAAATACTAAAAACTAGAATTTAATATTTGTATTCATTTGATATGCTTAAGCACGTATTCAAAATTTTCATCTTTTAAATGTTACCATGAATTGAGATTGAATCAGATTTCTTAAACTGTGATAATCTTCAAGAAATTGTTCTGTTATTATTATCTAATTTTAAATTCATTAGATTCAGTCTGTGTCTATGCATATAATTTGATTATATCATAATGAAATCAGCTGTTTATTTTGACCCAATTCTGAAAGTCTTTTCATCGTAATTACAAGTTATCACAATACATTGAGCTTATTATCAACAGACCATGGGGTTTATATTAAATTACCATGAAATCATAGCAAACTGACCTTTGATTGATCATCAGATTACTATTCACTATAAGATAATTATATTTCCCTTATCCATAGGTAATTCAATAGTTTAATCATGAAACTCATGGTGAGATACAATTTGTTTAGATGATATCAGAATAACAACAATAATAATACAAAATGAATTTTGAGTAAAACTTTTGTAACTTTGTTTTTACTTAACATTTTTTTTCCTCATAAAATTTATCGGTTAGTTATGACATTTCCTTGATAATGATGTCAATTTTGAATAGATTTCTAAGACCAATTGAATTTAAAGGTGAAACAAGTATCAGAAAATTTCATGATAAAAGTTCAAGTAAAACTATTGATGAAAATTTTTTACATGATAACGAAAAGTTATTAGATTTCCAAATGATCAGATTATCTAATCTCATTTTCTGTCTCAACAATGAGTCAGTTCATTGATATGATTCAAAGGTTTCAAGATTGAACAAATTCTGAAAAAGTTTCTCATGAATTCTAGTCATGAATCTTATCTATGAAAAATCAATGAGTTAAAAAATTTCCATCACTTATACAGTGAAAGTTTTGGAGAGGACAAAGATCAATTAATCCCTGATAAAAATCTCATGATAACTATTATATTTTGAGAACTCAAAGGAAAGAAAAAGTTGCCTAAATCAACCTTACAAGCTAACAAATGATGATCTCAGCCATGGGATTAGGATTGATAAGGAAATCGTAAGTCTCTGGTTTCAGTTTAATGATGACAATTGAATATATTGAACACTGGTCAAGATGAATATCATTATAAAGATGGAGGTGGTCAAACGAGTGAAAAGTAAATAATAATGCTAACTTTCAGATTCAATTCTAGTGGTCAGTTGGGTTACCGATTGATGCTGATAACAATTGGAAAGATTGAAAGTTTCCAACAGGGTAAATCAGGATATTATCCAGAAAACAGGAATTTAAGAAGATGAATGTTAGGTAAATAATAATAATGGCCAGAGAAAAAAAGAGAAAATAAAAAGTTCCATGATAAAGATGGAAGAATTTATATTTTGGAATAAATTTTGTTCAGAAAAAAGAAGAGAAAAATATCAGAATTACAATTTGAATAGAAAATAATATCTGACAAATATCTACCTGGAATCGATGTATTAGAGTATAAGTGTTGTGAGAAAAATAAGTTCGAAGATATTTCAATGGTTTAGTGAAACAAGATAATGTCCATTGGAAAAGTTCTGTTCAATGTGTTCTTATTCAAAGTTTTGTCTTCGAAACTTTCATGTGATATATTTGAGAAGAGAAAATGATGAAATATGTTTAACACTTACAATGAACTTTTAGGTGGAAATTTTCACTCTCACTGAAGCCAATTTCATTTTTCGCTGAACATTTATATGAACCAGAATCTTCCTTTGAAGCAGATTCGATGCTTAAAACTGATCCATTAATCTTAAACTCTGAATATAGAGAAAGAGAGAGAAAAAGAAAGAGTTAAAAGAAAGTAAAAATTGTAAAAGAAAATGGTGATTATTATTATTATGGAATAGAGATTGTTAGTCAACTGATGATCAGGGTGTTGGTCAATCAATGAGATAGGAAATATATATCAAATTGGAAAACAGCCTCAAGGCAAATGAAAGTATATTTGAATTGGAAACTGTTTGCATTTGATGTCAAACATCAAATTGATGGATAGAAGATGATGAAGTAGGAAGAAGATGAGGGAATTGGGTTTGACTGTGAGAGATATAAAGATGATACAAGGGATGAAGATAAGGAAAGGGAAGATGAGTCAGAAATATTGTTTCCATCACATAGATAAACCCGAACGACTTACGGAAACATAACAGAAAAAAAATAAGATGGAAACAAAATCCAAGATGAAGTTTCAATGCGATAAACATACAGTGTCTTCTTGATATTTAAGAAGTAAAAAAACAATTCTGAGGATTTCAAATGATGAACACGAAATCCTGAGTTGTATATAAAGAAATGAAAGAGAAAAAAATTCGAATCTTATTTATAAAAAAAAGTTCCAACAAACACTTTGTTATCACTTGCACTGTATTTCCTAAGTTGATATCAAATCCATTGTCCGACAATTTTATCTTCATCATTCTCATCAATATCTACTTAGAACTTTCCTACTTGATCATCTTTTCATCTTCTTCCCCTGTTGCATGATCATTGGATGACAGAAGATAAAGATGATGATGATGGAAGAGAAGATAAAATTGTTCAATAATGTAGAAGTATTAGAAATAGAGGTATTAGAACTAAATCTGAGTTTTTTTGAGTTTTTCTAGCATTTTTACTCATTTTCCTTATCAGGGTAACTCATGATATCGGTGATATCATGTTACTATCATCATCAACTTGAGTCAAGAATTTACTCTTCCCTAACAATGAACCAACAATAACCTCGTTCATTTTCAAGGTTAAAATGATATTTCCAACTCTTGTCACAAAAATGAAACAATTTCCACTCTATCCTTCCTGTTTCATTTAAAGTTTATGTTATCATGATAATATGATGATAGTTTTTTTTCTTACCGCCTAAAGTCAAATGAAATGAAATGTAATCAAACCCAGAAAAGTTAGATTTCAAAATGAAATTTCAACCTTCATGATCTTTTAGAATCATGATAATAAACATCATCCAACTCACCCATTAACAAAATACTTGATTCAATTCAATTTCTTTCAAATTGTTCAATGACCATTATCATTAACATTATCACCTCAAAAAGATCAAACTATTGATGATAAAGAAGAAAAAATGACCAACGACTTTTGAACTTTTTTCCTCGTTATCATGTTCCCAACAAAACTGGACAAACAATTTAATCTTATTGAATAATAATACATTTTCTTAACGATGGTCAACATAATGATGATGATGGTCATCGCTATTTCTATAGCTATGGATAAGTTATCCATCTCATGAGATTATTTTACTCAGTAATATTCTGAATTCCAGACGCTTAGATGACCCTGAGAGCTTTTCTTCACTAATTATTTTGGTATTAATATTGGTTGAAAAGAACTTTTTAAATCAATATCTGAAAACTCTTGATTATGATTTACATTTTATCTCTTGTCTTTGATACTTCAGTGTCTTTTTGCTGCAAATAAAGAGATAAGATTAAGGATCAATGAACATTCAATGGACTGTATTTATGTCCAAAAGTTAAATTGACTGTGGTCAAGAAAAATAAAAGTTGACCAGGGAAAAAGTTTCAACTCATGAACTGAAAAAAACAATTGAAACACTTTATTTAAAATGTCACTTTTAATGATAGCTTTAAAACTCAATTTATCTCAAAGTTAAATGAAAGTTGAACCTATTGTGTAACAGAAATGGACAAGAAAATACCCTAAGGCAGTTACATGACATTGACACACTGAATGAACCTTGCTTTCAATTCACAGAGACATTTAATTATCGTCAAGAAACATCATGAACTCTCAATGAAAACCATGGTAATCAAAAAGTAAGCTTATTGTTAGACAATTGAATTGAAAAAAAAACAAACACAGACACAGTTTTATAATCCTATTCAATTTGTTTATCTTACAGAATATCAAATATGTGTCATGATTTTCATCGATTCAAAATTTCACCATGAAAATCATCAGAATTTTTATAAATAATTGAAAACTTTCATCTATTTCTCTGTTTCAATTTCCTGGACATAGATCCAAATAAGTTTTCTTTCAGCAAGAACTACCTGACAGGTATAACATCATCATAGAATGGATTAGAAATCATCATGTTTGGATAGGAAATGAAATTTTCTGACGGAATTATCATAAAAATCAGCGAGAAAATAGTGAAAATGGTAAATTATTGATTTCAAGAAATTCTCGGAAAAAAATTACTTACAACTCAAAGAAACTAACTAGTAGCTTATGTAATCTAATTGCTACATGAAACCATTAATTTGGAGTGTTATCATCGCCAATTCATGTGTAAAAATAAAGTTAAATTTAGATTTTAATTGGTAAAGTTAATCTCAATTAGCTGATAATCATCAGCTGAAGTTAACTGTACCAATGTAGTAAATCTCATTTTGATTGAACTTAGAATATCAAATCAAGTATTAGATTCATGTTAATTATAACGAACTTCACTCATTTGAGTTAATTGTATCAATGATAAAAGTTACAATAAATGTTTTGAATTTACACAGTTTACCGTTACTTTTTCCCCCTCTGTAGTATACGTACATACACCTCATCTCTCTTTCCACCCCTCAACCCTGAGATCTTCTTTCCTCTCAAGTGATCATTAATTTTAACCCTGAAAAGGTTTTCCATTCAAATGAACACCAAAGACTCAATGGATACACAAGGAATAAACCGCTCTGAATGAAGATACACACACTTGAAACTTTTCTCTCTCTCTTTCTCTCTCAACCAATTCAATTGAATAAGATTTCATGGTAAACTTTTTCATTCATTTAACGATATATCAGATAATGCTCTTTGTATAATCATCAACCTCATCATCATTCCAACTGAACTTTATTTGAATTTTGTCTCTCTAGCTCTCTGTCCACAAGATGAAATCAATATATAATTCAAGTGAAAATGTTAAAGTAAGATTATCTGATCAGAATGAATCAGATCAATTTTTACTTTCTGCATACAAAGCAAAAAAAGTTCATGGCTTTGCAAATGAGTGAAATTTCAAGAAAACACTTTAGAATTCATTCCCTGAAAACTTGATATCAGGTAAAAAATACCCTTCTCTTTTGAAGGCTAATCTTCATTGAGAAATAAAATATTTCTTGAAAATAGCAACAGAATTGCATAGATAATGTTAATTTGATTGTTTCATGTCGATACAAAATCATCAGCATGGAGAATCAAATTTCAACTAAGAATTGGATTTAGAAAAAAGGAGAGGGAAATTCTTCAATTTTCATTCAGAACTTTCTTTTACAATCCACTGTCCCACCCTCTCAACATCTTCATCTCTTCCTGAACCATGGTTTCCTTTTGTCTTCTCCACTTCCTTTTCCAATGATTCTCATCATTTTCCTCCCTCTATCTCTTTCTACAATGTTAACATTCAAATTGAGTTAAATGTATAAAAATTTCTACTTACTTTTCATGGTAACTTGATCGATGAGTTTACCCTGAAAACTCCACGAGTATTCAGAAACTTCAGGGTTGGACTTTGTTTGACAGTGTAATCCAATATGATCACCAGTTTTCACCAATGAATTTGAATGATGGTGGTTAACCATAACAAGAGAGGTTATCGGTGCAACTGAATAATTACATGTATCAATAGATGAGAAAAGGAAAAAAAATTATTCAGAATATGATGAATGGAAACGAAGGAACCAAAAAAAAATAGATAACTGGGCGGGAATCGAAGCCTCCATGATAAAGTCAATATAACTGGATAAAAAAAAATTGGAACAAAATTTGACTTCTTATCCAAATGAACTGTAATTGAAATTATATTGAATTAACTGAACAATTAGTTGATTGTCTGGTTGTCAATGTTTACCTTGTATTAAATTACATTTGCTTCGAGTAACAATCTAATGATGACCAAACACACACAATGAAAAGATGGACATTTCATGAACTTGAAGGTTACACAATTAAAAGAGAATACAAATAATGATTAACAATCGACAGACAATTAAGGGTAAGACAATCAATTGATTGTGATTTCCTTTTTCCTCTTTTTTTTATCTCTCATTCCTTATCATCATTCAAATGGTCAAATGATGATAATTGTCATCACAACATCACATTAACCGGTAAATTTAAGCTTCTTTCCCATCAAGGTGACCCTAAGCTTTAATTCAACTTCTAATTAGTTTAATTGTTTCAATTCTTGTGGTGGTCAAGGTAATTTCCAGTAAAGTAGTTTGGTCTATAATTATATGAGCTAAATGTTGATTAACAACATTGGAACAAAGTAATAACATGATTTTATCATGGTGATGATTCAATGATGATGAACCAGAATACAGATTAACTAAATTACAGTAACTAATTGCATTTTCAAACTAATGTACTTTCATGATTAAGTAATAATAACAATCAAAAAAAAACCCTTGACACCATGGTGATGATGATAATGATACATCATGTCACCAAAAATGAACTTTCAATTGATTATTGCCATGATAGAGGATCAGATATGATTAACTATTAAATTAAACCTTTTCCCTTGGTTGATTGTCGTTAATGTTTCATTGATGGTGATAATTTAATTGCATCGAGGGTAAAGGTTATATCAGTGACATGGTAAAGTATCTTAATCAAATTTTTCTCTTTCATTCCAATCAGATTTTCTTTCATTCTCTTGATTTTTTCCCTCTTTCCTTTGTATCTCTCAGATAACTATCCTTTTATTTAGAGATAGAAAGAGAGAGAGAAAAGGGAAAAAGAGATCGAGTTCTATTCTTGTTCTTTTCTTTTTCATTAGCACTCATCATGTTTTTTTCGATTTCTATTCTCATTTCATTTTCTTTGATTTTTTTGTTCTCTTTTTCTCGGATAAATCTTGTAATTCTGTTTGATTTACTTAGGATCAATGCCAAACATCATGAATTTACTCCCAGTTTTTAGTACTTTCTCTCATATCGGTTTATCGTCTTTCACCTTGATCATCACCTCAACTTTTGTCTTTCTTTTTATTATCTTTTTCCTTTTTGTTTCAATCTAGATTGTCATTCATCATTTTCATTTGAAACTCAAAGGGTTATCATGAGATCAGCTCTGAATCTGGTGCTATTATTATAAAGCTACTCGAATGACGTGTAACAAAAAAAGGCTCAGATCAACATCAATTTTATTGAGTGACATTAAATGTTCATTGATATATTGATTGAATATGAATCATGATATTATCTGAGGTTATTAATATGTAGAGAAAAAGTTCTGAGTATTTACCATCTCAAAATTCACATTACTCTGAAATTTCAGGGGTTAAAGAGAGAGAGAGAGAGAGAGAAGAAATGAGAAAAATCAACTAAGTCTCGAATTCATCTTTTCATCATATTACTCAATAGCATTTGTAATTCTTCTTCTCAAGTGGTTCGAGTTTTCGAAATTGATGAAAAATGAATCTTCACACAAACATCATGTTTCGAATTCTTTTTACCAGATAACAATAAATTGAATCAAATTTCATTCATTTTGAAAAGTAAACAAGCTTTGAGAATAAGTCTCAACAATCAACAAATTGAGAGCATCAGTTATTCATCAAGAGAGCCAAAAATGCAGGGGATAAATTCAGCTAATTTGAGACTGAATAGGAAATAATCAAAAGTAGTTATCATTTGTGTGTCACAAATTGCTCAGTCGAGGAGATTAACAGTTGTATCAAGATGATTAGCATGATGATAGATTTATACTTACATCTTACATAGAGTAGTAGCTTATCTTCAATTGCGCTATTTTTCAATCTTATATTTTCTGCTTTACAGATTAGGTAAAGTCCATTATCCTCTGGGGAAGGCACAAAATTTAATACACTTGTTGTTTTATTACCACTTTCAGTGATTGTTTCGCTTTGAGAGTGGAGGGAAAAGATAGAAATCAGTTATCAGTTATTCAGTAAATTTTATAAAGTTCAGCACTCAAATAGTGAAAGGAGATGAAATTGAAGAAAAGCTGAATTTTCAAACTTTTCCTAATTCTATCTAATGATTTTTGATTCTATGTTTCAATTAGCTGATAGGATAAATTAGAGTCAACCATGAATATTTATCTGAGCTAATTGAGATTCATTTACAGATTATAAAAATACAGTTTATCTATTAACTCACCAATTTTAGTTAATAATAGACTTATGGTGCTTCGTTTAATTTAATTGAATTTTAATCGATATTCTGATGACAAAATGAAAGCAAAATATCTTCTTCATGAAATTTTCATCATGTTTCCCATGTAAAATTGGTAATTCTAAGTGAAAATTTTGACTGTTCATAAACTCTGATACTTTTATTGTTACACTTTTACTCTAAATATTTTCTAATCTTTTATTTTTCATCTTCTCAGTTATCAATCTGATTGATGTTCAACTAATGAGAAAAAAAGTTCCAAAAGAAAAACTAAAATAATAGCAACTTCTCACAATCATGATGGTCAAAAGACGAACAAGAATGAAACATTTTCAATCAACTTTGAAAATCCTCTTGCTGAGTAATCCTATTCCTCCCTCTTGCTGTCCAGTTACACAGCTAATACTCTGTATTACTAACCGACTGGACATGATAATCAACTTGTAATCAACTCAATATATTGATTACAACCTTTGGTCAATATATTTACCATACAACATTTTTTTTCAGGCTCTCAAATCCACAACTATCCAAGCGATTCTGTTCAAAATTCAGTTTGTTAAAATAACTTTCGCCTTAAGTAAATTTCCTTCAAGTTATTCATGTATTCGAAGTGTGATAATTTTATTCAGAAAATAATAACCAAGTGTAATAATCATGATGATAATCTTTTCAGAACTTTTTTGTTTTTGTTTTTGTTTAGTTTGAGAAAAAAAAATTCATCCTTTTATTCAGCAAGTTCATTCAGATTATTCTTGGCATCAGGCTCACAATATTCTTACTTGTTAGATAAATTCATAGATATAATAATACACCCACCGAGTGGAAAAAGATTATTACTTTTAACATCATTTTCTGTTATTCTTGTTTAATATATTTAAATAGATAACTAACAATTTATCTGAGTTAACATGATAATGTTACCTAACAATTATAACCTCTGAATTTATTATTAAAATATCATCAACCTGAATGTTGGAATGGAAAAATTATTTTCGAGAAAAAAAGTTTCTAAATTCTCATTATCTAAACAAAGTAAAAACTTTTACTAATATATTCAATTTATTGAAACAATCAGAAAATAGTAAATGTTTAACTGTTGCTAATTAAATTGAATTATGTTTTCCACTAATTGCTAACAATTAAAGCAAGACAATAGTGAGAAACAATTAACTAGCTATTATAATTAAAATCGTAATTCATATCCGTAGTTCAATTCTTTCTGGTTCTATTCATCACTCTAAGTAACGACATTGTACAAAACTTTTCTCGTTCTCAGTTGATTGTTAGATTTTGTTTAATTACCTTTCGTCGAGAAGTTTTTTCTTATTCTTCAACCAGGTTAGAACGGCCGGAGGTCGTGAATACATCGATTCACATGTAATATCTGCCCTCTGTCCAGCAAGCAACGTTCTCGTGAGAGGAATCAACTTGACAGAAAGTGGTTTCACTAAAGGAGAAAAGAAAAGAAATTTTTACCAATACAAATCTAGAACTCGAAACCATCAGATAAAAGTATCAAGAGTAGATTTTTCTTCAGAATTTCAGTTGATTGCAAAATAGAAGTGTGAGAATTCAATTGATTATATAACAAATGCTTATTTACTATTTCTAATCAAGTAATACAAATAACGATCATCATATTGGATTGATTTTCATCTCAGTCTCTCTTTAACTAAACTATTGCCAAACAAAGTGAATTTAAATTAAATTTTATCAAAAAATCACGAAGAAAAAAAATAAAACTTTACCAGGTAAAATTTTTCCTTTATCATGATGATCATTATCGATATGTTCAGATTACTCTGATCCCATGAAATCTTTATCTTAATATCATGGTAATAATGAAATTCCTGTGACTAAAAATAGTTAACTTGTTTACTCAATGAATCTGATTAACTGATCGTAATGTTTATTTAACCTTACATTTGTTTCTCCTGCTTCGTATAAAAATTCAGATCATTTGTAAGATTAAGCTAATCTAACAAGTATCTTAATCTTAATGATTCATTAGCCTGATAATTTATTTCTTGGATTATTTTAATAAAACTAGTTAATCATATGATTATTATTTTGGGCTTCCTTTTTTTTCACCAAGTTACCCAATTTACTATTATTATCTGGTTATTGTGATGTAATGATTATGATAATTATTGTCATCATACTTACAGTTAATGTCCAATGTGATGGAGGCATTAATTGAGGTTGGATACAATTGATTAATTGCTTTGCAGACAAGGACGGAATTAAGATAATCACGAGAAACATTGTAAATCTCAAGGCGATTGGTAACAGTTTTATTTGACTCTTCAATAAGGTAACTTTGGTCAAGAAGTTGACCATTTAGGAACCAAACCAATGAAGGCAAAGGAGTACCTAAATGATTGAGAGATAATTAAATGGCGATTAACAAGTAATCTTATCTTAATTAATGGTTAAATGATAAGCAAGCCCGACAGAAAAGATAGATAGACAAACAACCATCATCATTAGAAGATGATAATAAAAGATTAGAAGAAGACTAATTTGTATCAGAAACCAAAGGTCGAACAAAAAAACAACAATTTTCTTTGAGTTTGTCTGCCTTCGAATATGATATTGTATTACTTAGAACTTACCTCCTTTCGATAGGCAGGAAAGGTGAATATCTGATAGTTCATCGTATGGACCGCTCCAAGATTCAAGGGTTCGTCCATTGGAATCGGTTATCCAAACAGATGAAGGAGGAACTGAATTTCAAGGATAATAATCAATGGTCAGCAGGTTCGATATTGATTATGTTCAGATTATTTCTCACCTATTATATTGAGTTTAACTATTGTTGTGAGGGTTCGTCCTTCGACAAAATCCACTCGGCACTTGTATTCACCAATATCCTCTTCCCGTAAAGGATCAAGGATAAGATATGATGGGTTAGTTGTTAAATCAAATGAAGCTCGAACTCCAATTGATTCGATGGTTGAAAAATGTTTTGCTAAGCTTAAATTAGAATTACGTGAATCTATTGAGTATATTGGTCCACCCGGTAGACTATCTTTAAACCATAAAATAAGACGAATTGAATCATCCTTAATCCCTTTGGTTATATTACATGGTAATTGAGCCATACCTCCAATACTACTAGTCACTTCAATAACGTTACCTGTTGAATTGATCATTCCCATGTATTGAGTATAAATTATGATTAAAGGAATGAGAAAAACAGTCAATGAGCACATTATATTATCACCATGAAATCATTTAAATTGCTGAATTACGATTCAGTCGGTAGACCGAATAGAAACACTTTTGGGTACATTACCTTTTTTAGTGACTGAAAACGATTTCTCACTTTTCACTTTGGATAATCCGTTTTTGGTAAAAGCACTGGACGATATGGACGATACACTGTCATCAATTGGGTCACTTTCTTTTATGTTCATAGCACGAATAAACCTTTTTGGCTTAATTGGTGACACAATACGATGTAATTGAGTATTCCAAGTTTTATATTGATCGAAATAATCATAAGAGTTAACAAATTGATCCGATGGTGCAATCATCTCATGTTTACAATATGCTGAAACAATTAGACTGAAAAAAGTTATCAATGAAACTTTGGATAGCATATTTCGTTTATTTTGTTCATCGAATCTTAGAGTTGGTGAAAATAGAAAAGTTCTTGTCGATTCTTGTTCAACTTTATCACAACTGAAAAGTTCTTTGGACTATTGTAAAAATGTACAAGAGTTAAGATCCATCATCCAAAGACTGCAACTTATCATTCAAGGGATTGCCATCTATTGGATAACATTCAGCTCAACTTTCAACCTTAATTGGGATCAGAATATTCCCATGAACTTGGAGATAAAGCTGAGAACGATTCCATTGTTGGAATAACTTTCAGTAGATGGCAATCCCTTACATGGTAAATATCAGAATAGATATTAACTATTGTAGCTTTTAGAATTTGCAACTTTAACTCTTCAGTTGTGATGAAGTTAACGAACAAGTGAGAACTTTTTATTCACTTTTTTTTCGAAAACTCGATGATCCAACAAAAATATGCTACCCAAAGTTTCATCAATACTTTTTTTCACTTTAATTGTTGACAATCTGAAACGAACAAGGGAAACATCACAAGCACAATTATCATCATTAACTCGATCATTAATATCAGTTTTACTTTATTTATGGATAGTTACTATTCCAAGTTTAACCGGGAATTCAGTTTATCCTAAAATTGAAACTTTTGTTGGCTCTCCAGTTGGATTACCATGTAACACAAGTGCTCCTCATGATGATGTTGTTCAACTTATATTGTGGTTCAAAAATGCCCATGGAACAGGTTCACCTTTCCTTAAACTTGATGCTCGTCCAACCTCATCATCTTCAATTTCACCTCTTGAATCCGGTGTATTAACCATAAAACCAGAATATGAGGATAGAATCTATTTCAATGTAACATCATCACCATCCATATTAAACATTAATCCAGTTCGAGAGGATGATGGAAGCATCTATTCATGCAGAGTAGATTATAAATGGTCTCGAACTTCAATATCCAATATTAATCTATTTGTAATTGGTAAGCTTAATCCTCTCTATTATTTCATCATAATTTTCTCATCACTTTTATGATAACATAACATAGATTAACTGTTAAGATTATTGTAATACATGTAAGAGAGTAAATGATTTGATTCTCATTTCTTTATCTAATATAATCATTAATCTAAAGATGATCATCTCAAGGATAAAGGAAGAGAAAAAAATAATTAAACCTTCCTCATAATCTCAATTGCTTTTCTCTCCCTCAAATCTTCCCTGTCTTAATCTATGTCTCATTTTTCTCATTCTCTCTCTTTCTCTCTCATCGTCACCATGTCCCTTAATCTTCAACAAAATCATGCTTATTTCTTTCATATGTTATATATACATGATAGTGAGGCCTTTGGAGGTTAAAATATATCCCAAAAAACCTTTACTTGCCGGACAAAAGGCTGAATTAACCTGTGAATCTAAAGGTTCAAGACCATCGACTAAATTAACATGGCTAATCAATGGGCAAGAATTAAAAGATGCAAGGTGATTATCATTGAATTGAATACATTTTCATTCATTAAACATCATTATCTCCACTTGTTTAGGTCAATCGACTCTGCTGATGGGCAGACAACAAAATCTTTAGTAACATTTACACCTATGCCTTCATTTAATGGACTTTCCTTAATCTGTCGAGCTGAAAATCCAAAGATAATCAACTCTAGTATTAGTGATAATTGGTTTCTACAAGTTTACTGTAAGTTTAACATTCTTCTTAGCATTTCAATGCTTAGCACTGTGGATGAGAAAAGAGTCGCCAAGATTCATGAAGAAAAAAAAATCCCAGCTTAACCTAACCCATTCCAACCATAATAATTAAACTGGTCGTTCAAAGTTCAAGAATTGAAAATATCATTATCTTTAAGGAAAGTTACCTTTTGTTTTCTAACCAAACTTTACCTGGAGAATTGCAATTTAACCAAGAATTGTGAATTATTATCATCCCAAAGAAAAAGTCTCAATTATTAATATCATCAGTTCAAAGGTTTTCATATCAAACTTAATCATTTTCATCATCATCATTTGTACACCATGATGATTATATTTTATTGTCAATTATGTAATAAAATGAATGAGATTTTGAATTGAAACAGAAAAATAGTTTAATTTCATCACAAAAGATTAAAAAATTTTCTTCTCCATATAAATATTAGATTATCAAGATAACTCTCATTCAACTCAGACTACCAGCTCAATCCTTATAATATGAAATTGTATCATGATGATAATCATGACGTTGAACAATTTAAAATAAGATTAAACTAATGAATCATTTGGTTTTGTCTGTTATTGTGAAAACGAATTTGAAATTAATTATTATTTACCATCTCATCATGATTCCCAGTTGGTTAATCTAATATTAACCTACCTTATTTTTTTCTATTGTGTATTGTTGTTAATCTTAATCTTTTATAAAGCAAATTAATGATAACAATAGTAATATCGTATTAGCCTTTAACAATAGGGTTGAATTGTAATGATGATAATACCAAGTGATTCCTAATGAATATCATGTTCATTTCAATACCAATCATCATGTTTATCACTACTTATCAACAAGAAAATTAGTTTCTCTCGTAATTGTAATTATATTGATGATGATGATGATGATATTTGTATGGATAATCAGAGATGTGGCATAATTGTTAATCAACTAAATCAACACACCAAGTGACTGATTAGCCCACTTGATCAGAATAATTAACAATTGATAATTTATTTTCATCATCAAATCCATCACTCGTTAATCAGGTTAACTAATATTCATAAGAGCAAGTTAATTGCGATTTTAGCTAAAGTTCAATTATTTGTTCAATCTTCTTATAATAGGGAAATTTTATCTTCTTCATATTATCATCATCATGCTAATTGAATCTCATCTTGTATTCAATTTCTCTCTCTCTCTCTCTTTTCACCGCATTGATAAATAAACATGAACGGAAATCTCAGTTCAGCCCGAAGTTGCCTTGAACTTAACTAGGGGAGGTAGTGATGGAGGAGAAGAGGATAAAAATGTCGATGGATCAAGCCAAGTCGCCGTTCCTTTTAGCTCAATTCAAATGAAATGTGATATCAAATCAGCAAATCCAAATGTAACCGAGATCCATTGGCTATTCAATAATGAGATTATGAAATCTGATGCTTCAAAAGGTAAGATACTTTATTCTTTCCCTAATATTAAATTCAGAATTTTTCACTCCCAATCTCACCTAACCCTTGACAAAATATTATGTAAATAATAATGATAATATTGTAGTTACTTGATTTTCTAATATATATATTCTGCCCTCCCTGTTACTTCCTGATCTTCATTCATTCTTCTTATTTACTTCCTATTTCTCATCCACATCCTCTTTTTTTCTTCACTTTGATGAAACTTTTTTTTTATTCTGCAAACTTTGCAACTTTACATTTACTCTTAATGGTATCATGTATATTTATCTTCATCTTTATCATTATTCATTTGATAATTTATCCTCTTCTCATCATGATAACTACTTGTACCATTGACAAAATTAAGCTCATTTCTAATTTAATAGTTTAAACTCAGACCTCAAAGTTTTCAAGTTTATTTCATAATTTTCTCTTAAAGTTGAAAAGCTCATGAAATTGTTTTCATTTTCCACTCGAAAACTGATCAAAACTTGAACTTGACGATAAGACAAAAGAGTAATGATAACTTTTACTCCAATAATATTTCTCAACATTATTTATCCTTTTTTTGCTGCCTCGTTCTGATTGGCAAATTATAAATTCTATTACTTTTATGTTCGTGACAATTTAATTTAATTATAATCATTGAACCTCATTAGACTCATCATGATTAAAGTATCATCATTACTTGATGTAAGATGATTCCAATTCATGTAATAATAGTATCTAAGTAAACAACATTATCCACTTTTTTTCAATGTTCATACCAAACTCATATCATCTTCAAGGATATTGTTCAGTTCAATGAGACAGACAATATATATTGAAGGTTCAATATTTAATGGGTGAGATGATAATAAGAATCATAATGACGATGATGATGATGATCAAATTAATCAAAGTTCATTGATGAGATTTAATAATCAAATGAGATTATTTTTTTATGGTTCCTCCTTCTTCAATCCAGTGTATTCAAAAATTGATAATAGCTTTTGCATACATGATAATATTTGCATATTTGCTGAATTTTCAATTTTTCATCTTTATCTAATTCATACCTACGAAATTAATGTATGTTTACCTTTAGATGTAAACTCAGAATTCTCTGAGAAACTTGTATTTCACCAAGAAAACTCCTCACATTTTACCTGATAAAACTTTTATTACTTTTATGATGATAAAATTATCATTGAATTTTAAATTTATCTTCATTCTTTTACATGGATTAACGTGGTTAACATTTATCTTATCAAGAGTAAAGTTTTCCATTCAAAGTGACCTTTTGAACAAGTTTGGTTTATTTGAGAAGTCGAATGGACGGTTAGTCGAAATGAAAGTAACAAAATGAAAGAGATAAATACTAAGAAAAACTTTGATAGAAGAAAAAAGTGGAATGAATTTCTCTTTCTCTTTTATCATGTATCTTTCATGATGACGAAAACAGATTAGATATACATCTATGCAAAAAAAGGTTCGATGAAGAGGAAGAAGAAAAAATATAAGAAAGACGAATAAATGAAATGAAATCAGTAAGAATAAAAAAGAGAATAGAAATTCACATGAGTAAACATACATTCACCAGTATTATTGCTTACACTTGATAATAAAGAGTCAGTAGAGTTCATGATAATTCCTGATATAATGAGAGAAATAAGAATGAATCAACTCTCAAAGTTCAATTGTTATCATTTTGATGCACTTGGTGTTGAAAATTTTCTCTTCAAACAATTAAAAATTATCACGACCCTCTGCAAAAAGTTCGAAGAAATTCTGGTTTTAACAAAAAAGAAGATAACCTCCGCGAAATTATTCCAGTGTCCATTCTGTTTACTTATACAGCCAAAGACTTGGAGTTTGCAACCACTTTTTAAATCATTCACACAGTTGAATCTAATCGATGAGAGATAAAGTTAACCCAGAGATATGATGATAAGTTTGTCCACTAATTTAAGTGATGTAGTCTTAAAATGGTCAACTGATTAGATATCAAAAGTTATCTTTACTTGCTTACCATTAACTGCGTGAATGGTTTAAAAAGTGGTTGCAAACTCAAAGTCTTTGGCTGTATAAGTTGATATGATATAGAAAAAATTGCAACAATAATAAACTTTTTCCAATCACCATAATCACAAATCATATTAGGTGGTGACCTAAAATTTCACAACCTGTCCATGAACTTGTAAAAACAAAACTAAGATGAAATGTTATGATATAAGTGCAACTGAAAGTGAACACATAATTTAAATTTAAATGTTTATTATTCCTCAACCAGCGAATTTTATTTATTGAAATAACCAGTGGTTGTAGATCACATTTTGAGGATTTAAAGACATTAAAGCATAAAGAATACTACAATTATCAGAAAATTATTAATAGCACTATTTTGCAACTAAAGGGTGTTCAAAATAAAAATTTAAAATTATTTTTGGATAACACTGATAATACAATGATTACATTTCGCTTATTCATGATCTTTTCGTTATCTAAACAGATGATTTTGAGTTTTTACTTTGAACACCCTTTTATTGATGAAAATTAATCTTGTTTTTTATAGTTCCATCAATGAAGTAAACAATGCTAAAAAGAAATTATCGAGTAATTTATAATTGAATAATTGTTTCTCTTAATTGAAATAATTAAAAACCAATTAAGTTAACAGATATTTTTCATATAATCTTTTAGATTATGAATAAAATGAACTTGAATCACAGTAATATTGTAAAGTTGATGTTAATGATGAAATTTGAAATTGATTGAAATTTACTCAAACACAAAACTTTATTTTCTTGACACTTAATTACCAAAATTACAAAACTACTTATCGTTGTGACGAAAGCAACTTAACACCGACCAAACTCCTCTACTAGTTATTTTTACCTTATTGATATCAAATTTTTCTCTCTTTCTATTTTCTCTTTGACAATTGGTGGCACTCTGACTTTACTTTTCATTACCACCTTGATCTTTGTTTGTTTTTCTCGTAACAATTTCTTAATTAAAGATATAATCAATTAAGACTAATTAATTAAGTGAACACCTAAATCAACATTTGATAACTTTCTTGATAACCTTTTAATTTTTGGGTCATTACAATATACCAGAAATTGCGACGACCGTGGATTAGATACTCTTACGGAATGTTTATTGCGAAGACAACGTTGTTGTTATTGTAACAGCAACGGACTGAGAAAAACTAAAGATAGACGAATGTGATAGTCAAGGATAGTTGGAAAACTAGTCTCATTCACTGGTTGTCTTATTTTCTTGAATATGTAACGTCAAATTTGATACAAATGAAATGAGCTGAATGAGTTATTTATTTATTAAATTAGTAAGTAGCATGTCAATGTGAGAATTTCTACCAGTTTTATTAAATCTGGTATAATTTTCTTCATTTTTTCCAATGATAGTCTTGAAGTTCCATTTTTCGAGTGCATGATTAAGTTGATCAGTAACGGTGGGTGAACAGTATCTAGGATTATCACACCAGATTTTCGATTCTAGGTTGGTATCACCGGTGATGATTATTGGGTTTTGACCAACTATTTCTATGATGTCTATCAGATTGTTGCTTGTTTGATCATACTTTGGACTTCGATAAAAGGATAGGATCCATATACATGTATATCCCGAATCAGTATCTTTAATGATACTAATTATAATGTTTTCATAAGGAGGATGGTCACCAAATTTTAGTTTTGAGTTAAGAGTTGAAACTTTGTGTATTTGTAGAGCCACATATATGAAGTCCAAATATATTTTTTATTTTCTATTCTGAGCAGTAGTTTTTGAGAAAATCGAGTTCGAAGTTAAAACTTATGGTCACTTTTTCTAAGCAACGATGAGTTTTTAGATCATGAAATTTTTATTTATTGACAACTTTTCATGCCCTTACAGAAAAACAAATTTGTTTTGGTAAAAAAATATCCTAAGTGCTCCGGCCACAATTCCGTTGTATTTAAATAAATGGACGGCGATTAGACCTAAGTGTCGAGAATGATCTGAAACTTATTTTTGAGACTATCCTAGTATGGGCTAACATCGTGAATCGAGCACTTTTCTCGATTGATCAATAGTTTTACCGGAATGAGAGAGTGGCCTTTGATCTTCGGAGGCTAATATCTCCTAAACTAAAATACTAAGAAATGTCTGTATAAGCCAAATCACCGTCACTGCTCAAAATAGAAAATAAAAAATATATTTGGACTTCATATTTGTGGCCCTACAAATACACAAAGTTTCAACTTTTAACTCAAAACTAAAATTTGGTGACCATCCTCCTTATGAAAATTTTTGACTCTTGTAATATTTTTTGGAAAGAAAATTCCAATTTTGCCGTTGATAACCATTTCTTTACTGTAAAAGTTGTTGTTAATTTCACCGATAATAAGAATATGGTCATTATGATACATGGCCTTTTGAAGTAGATGTTGAGTAGCTTTGATGTTTCTCTGTATGTTGATAACTTTGAGTGACATTTTGTGGGAGTGCTTTTCACTGGGCCTTAAAAAGATTGTAGTGTTTGGTTTGGTGGTCACTTGAAAAATGGCTTCAAAGAGAAGAAAAGTTGCTTCAAATGAAACCAATGATTTATCTTTTAGTAGTTTGGATAATTGTTTATCTATCGTTGAAAGATTATCAGAAAATAATCCTGGTGTTGGTTTAATGGATAAGATTATCGAATCTTATGGTGAGGATGAAATCAAGGGAATGGTCGAGTGTTTTCAGGAAAATCTCACTGTTTGTGATTTTTTGGATGAGGGTACCAAGAGTGTTATTAACGATTTCTTGGTGAACTATCGTATTTGGTCATCTGAGTTCAATGATGTATTAACCGTTATAAACGAGAAGAATTTTGATGGTCTCTTGAAGATGGATGTGAAAAGATCAAAACGTGAAAGTGATGATTTGGTTTTTATTTCTTACAAAAAATCTGTTCAAAAATCGGCTGATTGGATCGATGTTAGTGATTTGGAGGTTTTACCGGTGATTTTGGT